GGGGGGGTGCGGTGTACAGGACCATAGCTAAGCATAGGGAGGACCGAAGGAAGACATGTGTCACTTTCTTCTCGATTTGTGGACTGAATGGATGGAGTGAGTGGTCATCGTATGTGTGTGTGTGTGTGTGCCTGCTGTCGATCGAGCGATGGCGTTCCTTGGCCGGAGGCGAGTAGTCAGGTGGCGCACACCACCAGGCCGCTTCCGTTCGGCGACGGGCTGCCTCCGCCCGGTCAGCTGCAAAGCCGCACACCAGAGAGAGAGAGGAGAGAGCACTCAGGTGTGAGTGGGATTCAGGCGGTGGATGGATGGATGGGCCGTGTGTCTTGCCGGCTGTGTGCCTGCGATGGATGGATGGATGGATGAAAGGGCATAAAGACGGACTGCATTCAGTAATTGCCTCTAGTGGAACGGTCGGAGGCAGTCACACAGATACACAGACACACGCATACACACGCACGAGTCGGCCTGACTGCCCCACGGACACACACGTGTCCATCCACCCATGGCCAGGCTAGTCTAGCTAATCGGGTCTACTCTTCCCTGAGCCTCTGCCGCCTCTCCACCTGACGCAGGTACGCCTTCAGCTCCTCCCTGACCATACACACACACGGCACACACCATTTGGTCTCTACTGCTGCTGCTGACAAACATATGTACCTCTTCTGCTCGGCCATGGCGTTGACGAGCGGCTCTGCGTACTTGTCAAGATCCACAGACACGACAGCCGCCTCCGACCTCTCAACTGCATCCATCCCGGAACACACACACACACACACACGGACATTCTTGTGCTGACCGTTCTCTTCTCATGAAGCCGTACCAGTCTCCGATGGCGGAAAGTACTCATTCGCCACACGCTCCCACTGAGGCGCACTCTGATAGATGCGCACCCAACCAGACACACAGACAGAGAGAGAGATGGACGACAACATATATGGCGACACGTACGTGTGTGGCAGCATTGGGCGGCGGCCCTATGGCGTCGAGCGAGTCCGTCCCCGAAGGGATGCACAGCGGCCGCATCGGCTCACGCTGCACCGCACTCGCGCGAATCGCCGGACCGCTCAACGCACACTTCACACACACCCACACATCCATCCATCCATCCACCCACACAGACGGACGGATGGCATGTGTCGGGTTTGTCCTTCGGTGTGTCTGTGCGGACGTGTTTGAGCATGCTCCTGAAGGTCATGATGGAGGTCTTGTCGCGGACAGAGGTCGACACCAGGCCGGCGGGGGGCGCGGCGCTCACACACAGGTACCGCAACGCCCGGCACAACCACTTGCGCCTCTCGCTGACGGAAGAATGGACACACACACACATTGAGATAAAGACGTTTCTAGTGTTTCACTCCGATGAGTGTGTGTGTGTGTGTGTGTGTACGGCTCGTGCGCGTCGGCGAAGAGGTCCCACTTGGCCAAACACACGATGGTGTGCACACCGGGGGTCTCGACAGCCCCGCCAGCGGCCACACGCTCCAGCCTGCAACGCTCTACCTCACCCTACACCACACACACACAACAGGGTGGTTGTGTGTGTGTAGCCGAGTGGGTCTGCTCTGCTCACCTGGATGAGCTTCAGGTAGTGCTGCAGCGTGCCGAAGGCGCTGTGTGGTTTGGCCATGTCGACGACCACCACCAGCACGCAGCCCTCGATGCTGCTCCCCGACAAGGGGCAGGACACCAACGCCTCGAGACGCTCATCGCCACCTGCACACAGACAGACACACAAACAGTATGTGGCGAAAAGGGCTGTGTGTGTGTGTGTGTGGTTGTGGCTGACCGATATCGAAGAAGTGGGCGACGGTCTTTCTGTTTGAGTTGGGGTCGGGCTGCCGCGCGTACTTGTAGTCGATGCCCACCGTGGCGTTAGGCGCCTGACTCGGATCTGCACCACACACACACACACACACGAGCACGGAGGATGTATGTGTGTGTGTGTCTGTCCTCGCCGTTGCTGTACCTTTGTGCTGGTTGATGAATCTGTCTACGAGCGATGTCTTGCCGCTCCTCTTGCGGCCACACACGACTACCGTCACGTCACTCGACTCTGCGCGCGCACACACACACACAGACACACACACGGAGAGAGAGAGAAAAATTCAATGCATCCGAATGCATTTGTTGTGGCCGGTAGTACTCTGTTCCTGCAGTGAGCTGCGTTGGTGCTTCTCAAGCTGAGCCCACAAGTTGACGGCAGCCGGCGCGGGAAGACTGCTCTCGGGCTGATATATGAAAGGGAGAGCAGACGACGAGCGAAGGCAGAAAAAATGAGTTCGAGGGTCATGTTTTGCTCGAGGCTCATCGCTCGCTTCGTACCTTCCTCCTTGACGCCGTCGCTGTCGCCATTCGCCCCGATCTTGGGTCGTCAAGCCACCAATTCGCCGTGTGCCCCCCGTTTCTGTCAAAAGTGAATGGGCACGGGAGGCTGCAATGATGCCGCAGGCGAGCATCTTCCTGGTTTGCGCCTTCCTGCTGCCTTTTGCCCCGTCCTCCTCGACGAGCAGCAGTGAGGATCTGCCACCCGAGCTTCAAGAGACCTGCAGCAGCAGCGACGACGCCTCCTCGTGCTCCCGCGGACCGCACGCCCACATGGCAGCTGCGGACGACGGGAAGATCTCAGACCGGGCCCTCGGGGTGAGGAGAGGCACCGATTTTTCATTTCACTCCTCACCCATCTCATTGCGTGATTCTGTGTGTGTGTGTTCAGTGTCTTTTGGGAGCGCTTGTGGGCGATGCCTCAGGTAGCACAGCAGCAGGCAGTGACAGACAGCACAGCACAGCACAGCGCATGCCACCAACAGAGAACGGAGGACGATTGATTGCCGCGATGGTGCCTGTGGGCCTTGCAGGTGCTGTGTTGGAGTTCCAGAAGACCAAGGTGACGGCCAAGGAGGTGGCCAAGGCTCTCACGATGCCCGGCGGCGGCGTCTGGAAGGTCGGGCCGGGACAAATCACTGACGACGGGTACCCCTAACCGCACAACACACACAACGAAAGAGGGAGCGGCCACTGCAGCACATGAGCATCCTTGTGTGATGCCGTCCGCGTGTCTGTCAGTGAGCTGACTCTGTGCCTGGCCCGCGGCCTCGTGGCCGGAGAAGGCAAATTCGATCTGGACAAAGTGACGGTCAGACGACAACACAAACGACAAAGAGGCGTTAGTTAGAGTGCTGGTTGCGGTGCATGTGTGGTTGTTGGTCTTGGTCTGTCGGTGCATGTCTGTCTGCAGAAGGAGTATTCCGCCTGGTTCGACTCGCCCCCTTTCGACATCGGAACCACCACCACAAAGGTAGGTACCCACGGGTGGCTGTGCATGCCGGCACACCGGTGGGTGGTCGGTGGCATCAATGCATGCAGGCCCTGGAGGTGGCCTTCAGCGGGCTGGCGAAAGTCGTTCGTAAGGCGGCGAGGGACCACAACCAGCAGAGCCAGTCCAACGGATGCCTCATGCGATCCACACCAATGGCCGTAAGTGAGTGGGCGACAGACAGAGATGCGATGCAGCCATGGGCGGGCACCATGGCCGACCTTGCTTGCCCACATCAACGTTTCCCTCTGTGTGTGTGTGTGTGTGTGTGCGTCATCCATCCATCCATCCATCCGACATCAGCTGTGGGGCCACAAGCTGTCTGACGCGCAGCTGATGGACATCGTTGCCCAGGTGTGTGTGCCTCTGTGTGAGCCAGGATACTCGTGGATAGAGTCTCTCGACTGCCTCTCTGTGTTGTCTGTGTGTGCAGGAGGTCAGCCTGACGCACCCTAACAAAGACATCCAGAATGCAGTGGGCACATACGTCGTCGCTGCTGGTGAGGGAGGGGGTGCCCACACCCTTTGCAAGCCAGCGGGCGGATCGTGGGCACGGTTTCTCCTTCGCAACTGACTGCTATGTGTCTCGTGTGTCAGCTTATTTGATCAACAATGGGGGCGGGACTAAGGAGGCGCGAAAGGCGGCGTTCGACAAGGCCAAGTAAGCAACCGCCGCCGCCTCCGTGTGTACGCGTCTGTGTGATCGTATCAACGTTACAGGACTGTGGCCGGCCCGCTGGCTCGCGAGTGGCTGGAGCTGGCTGCATCCAACGAACATTTCTCTGTCGACGGCAAGGGCATGGGCTGGATCAAATGGTAGGCGGCGGCCGCTGGGGGATGGGGCACCTCACCCGACAGACAGTCTCTGTCTTCCCCCCTCTCTCTCTCACCCTCTTGCAGGGGATTCACTCTGGCGTTCCGCCACCTGCTGTACGCCGAGAGCTATGAGGCCGCCCTCCGCGACACCCTCGTCCTCGACGGGGACACCGACACGAATGCCTGCATCGTCGGCGGCCTATACGGGGCGGCCGTGGGGGCATCGGCCATTCCCACACACCTCAAGGAACCGGTCCTCAGTTACAGCTTCGAAGGTACGTACGCCGATACGCCATGTGTAGACGTGCCATGGTGGGGTGTGATGTATCTCTGCGTCTGCGTGTGTGTGTGTGTGTGCAGATAAGGGCGGCCAACGGCGTCCGCCGTTCCTGTATTCGCGGCAGGCGCCGGGCCTGGCCGCCGAGCTCATGAGGCTGGCCCCGTCGGCCGGCCCTCAGGATGCTGCAAATGACCAGACGTGTGGTGGTGGTGGTGGTGGTGGCCAGTGTGATGCCAAGGCTTTTGCCGATTGAGTAATTGTGTGGATAGGGTTGTAGATACTCACTCTGGTTAACTGCACACGTGTGTGTGTCCAAGAAGGATATCAAAGAAGGACATGCAGCCCAGCCCCCCCACCCCACCGGCGTCATGGCGTGGGTATGCACATGCCGTCCATCCAATCCAACAACATCATGACATTCACGCCGCAGTCAGTGTCCAGTCACCCCCCCCTCTCCCCCCCCCC